AAACTAGTTTCCGGAAGAAATTGAAAAGTTGCGGGCATTCACTTCGAGAAACCGTAATTGCAGAGCACAGGATGAAGTTTTATGAAGTCTACCTGTCAAAGAAGAAACCTGTCTTCCGTTGCGGGCTAGTCATTATTTTTGTAGAAATTGCGAAAATTAAAGGAGGGCATAGGCATCACTCCAAAAAAAACTGACAACATCAAATGTGGGTGGCCTAATGGGATGCGCCTACACAGGTAATGCTGCAGGACCCTCCTGAATCATACATACCTGAGTAAATGATTTGTGAAGCTGGGCATAATTCTGATTTTGAGTTAACCCTATAGGTAAAATTGCTGATACTTGGAGAACCTTGCCGGTCCTTATTAAAAATAAGCAATCATATGGGCTACCCTGACAAGGATGATGAAACATTGATAGGTTTAATTATTTGTTTTCTGATTATTTACTCATACTCTACATAAGGTTGACATGAGGTCTCTTAATAGATCAGATCCGCCAATTTGAGGTGAATAGACTAACACTCTGATTTAGTAAATAACTTTGCTGAAATATAAATCACTGAAGGGCTCCATTGAGGAAAAGCATGCCAAGGGCGGAATAGACGGCACGATTGAAACTCTCATGGAAGATTTCAGGAAAATCATTACAACATTTGAAATGAAACAATGAACTTACACGTGAAACTCTATCGCCAACCAGTCCCATCAAACTTCCAAAAAGAGTAGACGTCTGAAATCAAAAACCTAGAAGACGAACAGTCACGAGAGGGGGAAGTCGGCTTGAAATCAAGTACATAAAAAGTCAGAGTTCTTATGAGCTTCCAATCATTTTCTCTCCCATTTCACCTAATCTGGGCGAGTCATGTGTTCATACTTGATCCCAAATCGCCCTTATGATAATGCGCAACTGGTTGGTTTCGCACTATTGATCAATAATAACTCAATGTTACTGTTTACAAGTTGTCGTAAACAGTAAAACAATAGCTACATTTCATTTACAGCTACAGGCGTAACACATACCAGGTCAGTGAAGCGTCCTAAAGATCCGAGCAGTGCTGCTTCTGTAGCATCGTAGGACCGCACACGAGCTTTTAGAGACTGAAACTCATTAGTATTCGAAAAGATTCCTGGTGAAACTCCCATTAAAGGAAACAAACCTCGCTGGAATCTTTGGGATTCGACCTTTCCTGTGCTTCAATGTCCTCATAATAGTCAGCGAAAACAGAGCATATAGTGCATTTTGCCAGCACATCAGGCACCAAGAGCGACAAGAATAGGATTTTTAGTAAGATCATCTGAAAAAAAATCTTTGAGATCCTTTCTGACAACGATTTTGTAGCAACATTAAAGCTGTATGGCTTCGTGCCTTAAGTAACAGAAGAAATGTCGGAGCTCCAACCGTTCAGGTTAAGAAATTTCCTTTAGCAGTGCCTATTTGGTTACAAGAACTGAACAACAACAATAGGGAAAGACTTGGGAGCATTCAGAGAATGAGAGCGTAAAATTGCTTGGAAACGAAACGTGCAGCTTTAGAAAACAAGTCGGGAACTGAAAAGCCGAGTCTGAGATCCGATATGCATATCTTCGTCGATTTGTGCTTCAATTGAGTCCACTGAACTATCTAATTGTAACGGTGAATTGGGAAATTCCTATAAAAAATAGGTGATCATTTCAAACCATTATGCACTACCAGGCTCCTGCCTCTTGCAGGAGGCTCCCTCTAGCGTGCATCAAAAGAAACTATTTGGAGCTATTTTAGAGAAAACTGACTTCTTCTTGTACTTTTTCTCAAAGTCTCCTAAATCCCTCAGACTTATATGAAACAAGGTACTGAATAGGTTTCTATCTCCAGGGAAGCGAAAGGAAAAGGTTCTCAATCTATNGAACAGGAAATGTGTCCATCAAGGAGATTCAAAAAAGGTGAGAGATGAAATTAGCAATGAAAAGGAAGCGAAGGAGGCTGTTGACCAGCTAAGAAGGTCATCGAACTCGTGCTTTCAGAAGTCCCAAAAAAGACTCTTCAGAGTATGAACTGAGTATAATTTGAGCTGTTTGTTGTGATTACTTTTTCATCAATTCAAAAATTTAAAATAATGTTCGCTTTTTTCAAAGGATGCCACTGCCGCTGGGATGTCGGTATTACAACTGCAATACACAGAAGATAATTCGAGATCATGATCTCCTCTCGATGTTGAATTTATTTGGATTGAGACGGATCCTTGAGGGCGGAGGCCCCAAAAAATGAAGCCTGCTGACTGGAATTCAAAGGAAAGGAAATGCTCAATGCAACTGCTAAAAAAGCGTCTACAAAATTCTGTTTACTTATACTTTGATTGGAACAACGCAGGATAACAGTTACTTGTGGAGGTTCCCGAATCTCATGCCAAAATTACCGTCCACTGTTCAGGCCCAAGAAAGGCTATACTGAAAGAAAAGAACGGCTCCAATCGCATGTAACTCAACTCAAAGCCACCTTGGAGCTTAGTCTTCATGCATGGTGAATCACCGAAAAGTCCATTTCATCGCCATATCGGATTAGAGAGCGTCCCATTCCGGCTAGTAAAATCGGTCAGAATAACTCTATCCTATGTTCGTTCGAAATGAATTTTAGTCCGAAACGACGTTCAATAGGGGAGATTCACTGTCATAATCGAAATCAAGGCTCTCTCAGGTTAGCAACAAGGTCGAAAAGATAGCCGAATTAAATCATCCTATCTTATGGTTAGTCAAGGCTTCACAGGTCATCGTGGAGAACTTACTTCTAACGATTAATTGTCTACCATCCACTTCTTAAAAAACTGGACACTTTATTAAGAATTCCACGAGTCATCGGATATCCTTGACATAATGCATCATAAAAAAAGATGTCCGAAATGATTGTTTTTTGCCACTTGAACCTATGTTTTTTGTTCGTATAAAAGTCTAGAATGAATTTCGTTTACTCAAAATAGATTACCCGGCAGTTAAAGCAAAATGCATTACTGACATTCCCTTCATTTTGTACCTGAGCAAGTGGAAGAGGTGACAGGAGTCATTTTCTGGAAAGCTACTTACGTGCTTATTGAAGCTGAGGTAAATAGCTGAAAGAATCGCTGACAATTACTGTGTTAAGTGCGAAAATGGAAATTTGGACTGGTTTGGTCTTTACCAAACCCGTCTGGATAGTCTCAACGAGTCGCGGTGAGCTCAAAGTTCCAGAGAGTTTCACATTTGCATTTGCATGCGGTTTTCTTCCAGTTAAAGTGAGTACCCTACACAAAGGCCACACAGACTCGGCAAGCACCTTTTTCAATCTTACCATCAAAACTCGTTTAGAAATAGGAAGAAGAGACCGGCGAAAAAGTAGTTTGATGACCATAATGATCTGAACATTGATACAATCTAACTGGAACAAAAATCGAATCGTGTATACCTATGAATGCTCTTCCAAATGACTGAGACGATTGGCTAAAAGAGATAACAATTTGCTATAAAAAAGGCTGGGACTTAGCTGTCACGATACCATAATGTAAGCGCGAACTTCTCGATCGCGCAGAAACTTCTCGACCGTATATCACCCGATGAGTCAGAGAAACGACCTACGCATGGACTGCCTCACTACAACCACAACGGCCGCTCACGGGAGCGAATCACTTGACCGCGATGCGTAACGAACACATAAGGAAAATGAGAAAAATCGCTGAACCACATTATCTGTAAATAATACGCGACACTGTTCTATCAGCGAAGAAGCATCATAAATGAAGGATGAAGGATAACGCACTCATACTCGAGCTTTGCCCAGCTTCCGACTTTTATTCAAAATCGTACTAGCCTTTGTTCGCATGAGGGCCTATACATTGCTGGGTGTTCACCCGATGAGCAAGTCGGCATTTTGTCCTTCCAGATAAGTCTAGCTCAATTCTGTCAATTCCCAAAGGATGAAAGGCTTCCTTGGTATGTTAGGGTAGCAATACGGAACACGAATCCCAGACCACTGGTACGATAGCACGCCATTTATAGCTGCGTTACTTCCGACTTACCTAGGAGCTACTTTTAGATGAACTACTGTGCAATGGTGTTGAAAAAAAACGAAAGCTACTTGGCTGCAAGAAAAAAACATAAATTATAACACAAATACCAATGTCCAGTTAATGTTCTGTGGTGAGGTGACCTGACATCTTTCGTTAGGAAGCAGTTGTTGTAGAGATTGTAAGACGTCTCCCATTTAGTTTATATTGAGTAAAATGAAAAACTGTATTGGCGAAGTAGTGCTCTCATAGTTAAGTGCAAGAAAGCCTAACTCCGCCGCAAATGGGCCAAGCTAGACGGTGCATTTCTGCTCTTCTCGTGCAGAGAGCCATTGAGGCTCGTTACAGTCCGGGTTCAAGTTACTTTGGTACCAATACTCAACGACACATGGAGAACATTATTTACCCTAACAAAAATGGAGGACCAGATTTCGTGGTTTAAGACTGTGGACAGCGACTGCTTAAAGAGTACCGAACCGTTCACATGCACATCAGTTACTGGTTATATGCATTGACGACCTTGATCGACTGTAATTTTACCGCCGACTGGGCTCATTTTACCGTCTTCTCATGACATCTTTCGTCCTTATAGGAAAACTCCAAATGTGACGCCAACTTCTTCCTAAACAACCCGAAACAGGGGGATAAGAGCATGCCAGTCTAGCACGGGCAGATTCACCATCCATCGCGACTTCATCCACTTCCATATCAATACCTAGCGATTCCCTTCCCGTAGCGTTACTTTGCAAACGAATAAATAGTAACTGCCAAAATAGGAAAACCTAAGATTTGTTTATGAGCTGAAAGGAGAATTCGTCAGATCACTCTATTAACATCTCCAACGAGCAGAATCATGAAGCAGACTGGTAGTGAAGCAGTCCTCAAAAATGTCGGGTTACCAAGTTTTAGGGAGATGAACACCTGTGTACAGAGCTTTTATTGAAAGAAACTTATCTCTACCAGTCGGAAATGATAGCTCAGAGAGTGGATGAAGAAAAGTGTTGAACGAAAACTGAGGAAATCCACTTTTAAATGAGGGGCTGGAGGGACGATGGGTCTCAGAGTTCACACAGCACATCAACTGCGATAAAGAAATGGAAACGATCGCGGTGACGACCTAGATCGCTTTGAACACCATGATCGACCTACAAGTAGCGAACGACCTCGACATCAGCATTATACGGCTCTCATAATTGAATGTAATACGCATAGGTCAGCCACCGTTCCGCAGTTTTTAGGTTACCTAGCGTTAAGTGAGTCATGGTTATAGGATGGTTACTGGATGTTGCAAAATGAATGAGCTTGAACTGTCAAATCGTTTATTCTCTTGCTGTGGACATTTAAATCACCATGTTATCGTATTACAAAACTTGTACGCGTTTTTAAAACTACATGCCAAACAGGGTTGAGGTGGTGTAGTGATAAGTGGCCACTAGAGACTAGAGAGTAATCGATGCTACTAGCTACTAGGAGGCTGACCGTCAAGGATCTAGCGATGTTCAGTAAATTAGGAAGAAGACCATTACCAGTCAAGATGGGTTACATACAGGGATAAGCTCCCTTTCTGAATCTCCGGCTTTTCTCATAGTTCCGAACCCGAATCCCTATGACGTACCATTTAGATGCGCCATCGAAATTCCCATATATAAGTGCTTCCCTATCTATAAAAAACTTCAGCACTTCGATGGCTCGAACGGTTGATCTCTGAAATGCAGCATGTACTATGATGTATTAAAGCATGTATTAAATATAAAGCGCTTCTTTGTTACTATGAAGTTCCAGGGCGGATGAAGGGAAATGCCAATGGCTAGTCATCAAAACCATGGGCGGAATCGAACCCATCTCGATATCCGGCCAAGTCGATTCCATTCATTTCAAATGACTGTAAAGACTATAAATTGCTATATAGACCGCATAGACTGCAAGAGGAAGAATCAGGAAATGAAAGGCTACTCTGAGCTCATCACATTGTAATCAGCAGAGGATGCTTTATGATGGACAATTTCGAGCACTCAGATATCTTACGAAGTTTCAATTTCATACGAACCTGAGGGGAATAAGCCTTCCCATAAAAATATGCTAATGCCGTACAAAAAGAACCATATGAATGATCAGGAGCCGGTCGCTTCCCGACGGCCTAAATTATAGGCCATGACCTTCTCAAACCATACTTCATATACCATACATCTCATTTTCAGACCTATAATCACGAGATAATGATGCGAAAGCATTGTGAGAGTTTTTCAAGGACTCAAGATCTTTCAGTTGTTGATGAGAGATCTCATGATGTCTCACTTGCAGTGGTTCATCATAGGATCTCGTTTCTAGTCGTTCATGCGGATCCTTGGGTGTTTCATTCGAAAATTTCAAGCAACTGAAGCGCACTTCAACTGGATTGTAGGGAATCACAGCTCTACTCTAACAAGCTCATTCCTCCTTCGCAACCTTGAAGGTAGCTCTTCACGATTTCAGGCACACCCTGTCAATACCTATCGCTAATACTTCTCCATTAATGTCAAGGTTGCTCAAAACCACTCGAATGTTTTCCTATATGATATAAGTTTTCCAGGGTAAGCGTTCCCTCTGTGAGCGAGTCATCAATTGTCTTGCCCACCGAGCTAGTTTTTTCCCTTTATCCATTCCCTTCTGACCGCTAAGACTTCTCACTAATGGGCTTTAAACTTCTGGGCGCAGCCCAACATGTACATCCTACCCCTTCCCCTCTACCCTCTACTAACCCAAGTCCTCCTACTTCTAGGGGTTCAGTTGTTATGCCTACAGAGATGTAGTGCAGTTGGAAGGCTAAGAATCAGCTTGGTAGAAGCCCCTCCTTGCTCATGCCAGAACCATCCCAAATCGCACCTAAGCGCTTCGGGTGATTAATTAGATAGTGGAGAGTTTCACGCGGAGGCAGTGTGCTTTGTAGACTTATGATATTCAAGAATTCCACGAAATTGTTGAAATTTACTGTCGTAAACCTGGACATCATCTCAATTTTTATTTATATCATATGATACACATTTACTCACATCACAAGGTACTTCAAATATTTTGTGTTCACAGAGCACGAAAAGCCCTGCGCTGACAACTGAAATCCAGATAACAACATTATGTGAGCGGATTAAAAAACAATGAAAATGCTTCTATACACCATAATACTTTCCTTTTTTACATTCAGTGGAACTTTATATTTGTAAAGCCATCCAGGTCAAGGTGAGGTCCAACGAGGATAGGTTCACTTTACTTGAATTTATGAATCGCACTTCGGACTTCATCGATGTTAGCTGCATCTCCCCATTCCTTTTCCAGATGTGAATAGACCAACTCGTTGTTAGCGATCAGATAAATCCCTGAAAAAGAATTTTCTGTGCTCGGATTGGAACTGTTTCACTGAACCGCACTGAAAATGTAACCAACTTCAGATACTACATGGTCGTCCTCCCATGAATATCGTTACAGATAAATGTTCGAAATCCATGAGTAATTATCTTTTTTCGGGCAATTAAAGGCACAGTTCACGTCAAAAATGGTTTATAAGCTTTCCTCTCGAAATGAACCTGTGATCCCCATGGATAGCCTAAGGGACGCTGCCGGTTTAAAAACAGTCAAGATAGGACGTAAACCGACTCAGCCGACGTACACACCCAGGGCGGACGAGTTTTTGAGCGTTGTGAAAGGTAGAGGTTGCACTATTCGCGCCGGGACCCACATCTTCCATCTGTCTGCCTCCCTCCTCCCCCCTAGCAATGCCTCCGCCGGGGGCTGAAAACAAACAACCTTCAAAGGGGCGTGGACTGTTTGCCTTATACTGTTTGCCTCCCTCCTCCCCCTAGCACTGCCTCCGCCGGCACGCCGGGTCACCGGCCGGCCGGCGAACTATGAAAGCAGCCATAGTGCGCGTTTTCAAACAGCTGGTCCAAATGCCCCTTCCATACAGCTTTCTTCATACAATTCTCGTCCACCCCCTAATTTCATTCTTTAGAGCCTTTCTGGTGATTCTCATTTCTCTGATGATACCGATTTCCACGTTTTCTTCGTCACAGTTTTGTATTAATCTGGACTATCACCTCCACTACTTTTCTAAAAGTAGATAAGCTAAAACTGTTCCCCTTACTTCAAGAGCAAGCAGGCCGAAAGGGAAACCTAAAAACAATATCAGCTCGCAATGAAGAGTGAGCCTCACCTCCAAGTAGTCGGCCTTCTCCGTCTGCATTACCAACAAATCCAGCTTGTTTAGCCTTGAAAGCATTTACATAGGTCCCAACCCGAAGGAATCCCATCCACAGAGGTAGCCAACGCTGATTAGGCCCGTAGAAGTGGCGCTGTAATAAAGCAAATAGCAAAACATCCTAAATTCATGGAGTAATCGATTTCGTGTGCGAAGTAGCTGGTAAAATGAGCAAACCTCTTTGTCGAAGTAGACATCACCTTTGAAATACGGCTTAAATTCGTTCACACCCTTAGTTTCGTGTACAACAGCAACCTGACGGAAAGAGCTCATAACAGTGATGGAGACAGTGAAAAAACTCGGAAAATAGTACCAGCTGGATGCCAGATGCTTTCATGTCCGGCTCAAGTGAGCTGAGTTGAGCAGCCTCCTTACGGCAAAACATACAACCTGGTCGACGCACTGCCATTACCATAGTTGGCCCTTTGTCGAATAATGAGGAAGCCTTAAAAGAAACGAAGGTATTTTGTGAACTTGGCAAGCAATATAACTACCCGTTTCAAGGAAAAAGTCACCTGAACTGCTAATCTCTCGTTAACTTGAGCTTCGTCACTTATCGGAATCAATTTTGCTTGTGAAAGATAGGCCGCCGTTGGAACAACAGCACCGATGGTCAGCCTGGTCGGAAGGTTCGCGTATAAGAAAGCACCGCCAAGAGCCGCAATCGCGCCGTATCCTAACATCGCCATGTTTTTTCGGCTGTAAAGGAAAAAAAGTGAAATAATTAATAATATAGCCCATACCCGAGCAGCATATAAACGGTAAGAGGAGATGATGAAGAGCTTAATAAAAAGACAAGGATAGGGTTAGCTAATGAGCAAACCCATCCTGTAATGCTCCGTGTATTCGACTACCATTGAGAACTGCGCACTGGCATTTTGACTGCGTATGTGGCTTATACAGTAAATTGCGATGATCCGCTGATCTACAAGTCAATGCTTTTATTCTTCCAGATGAATCTGATACTAATTAACCGAACCCAAAGGAATGAAAGGTTCGCTCGGCTGGAACAAATTCAGGATTCGATCCCCAGAACATGTGTGATATACAGAGTGCGCCTTTTGGCACCACACCACCTCGCCTACGATCTGAAAACTGCATAACTTATCATGGGAACTTGTGCAGATCGGTTCAGTTAAGCCACAAGGATTGTGGGAATTCTATTAAAATGATTTCAAAAAAATTTTTTTACACGGTACAGAATTGTATGGCTCAGAAGGCAGGTCCAGCTATACACTTCCAGCTCTTGCATGGGAAACAGTGGTGTAACTAACCATTTGCACATAAGATGCAGTACAGTTCTTTCAGCGATTCCAAATGCACAGCTGCATTACAAGACCATTCAAACATTCGCTACTTTGTGGCACGAAAAGCCGAAGTGCATCGAAGAACGATGCTTCGAACACTATTACAGGAGAGAACGTGAACCGTCAACAACCAATTCAATGATAGGAAAAGTCTTGTAATTCAAGGCTTCAAGACGGGGTAGTGAATAATTATTCAGCATATATTCAAAATATTAAGCGTAGCACAGAGGGAGCCGCTGATCTTGTCTCAATTATTGAAGCCTCCCCCACAGTCTTTGCAGTCTCAACCATTCTTCTCGCTGCTATACTTTCCAAACCTAATTCATTAGTTTTTTTTCTACCCTGTTGTCTTAAAATCAGATTGAGGTGGAGATGGAATGATGCCAAGTGACGGGAAATCGAATTCGGTACGATACCCTCCTAGGCCAATCGAGCCATTTTCAGCCGCAATTCACTTGAAATGGCAAACATGCATTCAACCGCCCTCACGGTTTCGAGTGGTAGCGCGTTTTTTAAAAAGGTCTGACCAATGCCGTACTATTTCAACTTTACTGCATTTGAATGAAACTAGTATTTGCAAGAATATTGACATCATCTTGATCCTCAACGCTCAGTTTCTTGGAATGGTAGCGACGTCCTGATCAAATAGATCAAATCGAAAGTTAGGAACTTTGTAAAGAGAGATTTTGAAAACCCGGTCGTCTCAACGTACAAGTTTCGACTACATCTAGCTATCTGGCATTGAGACAACGACTGTCCAAACACCAGAAACTAGACGATATACCCGTTGTAATCATTGCTCATCGACTGAATTCTCGGTACCCGAAGCCTCCTTACCATTAGCCTTATCTTAGAAAACTTCACTGGACGCATCTTACAATTTTTGAACTTCCACAGGTTCTAGTTTTTCGCCCTCGGTTACTTCCCACGTAAGAAGATAAACAGGAGATCATTGTAAGGTTACGGTATAGGATGTGAAAGGAGAGGTAAACAAAAATAACGATCAGAGTGCCAAAAAGTGAAATAATTCGAGTAGGGCAAGTAAGTCAGAGTAGCGAGATGTTCATGAAATAATCAGCATTACACTACAGTTAAACTAAGACAGCATTTCAGTTCGCGCTGATCTTAAGAAGGCCCTATCTATTGTCATTCTCTATGTTTCGACACCCGTAGAATGATAAAAGATAACGTCATGAATCAACTGCCATCCGTTCTTAAACTATGGACTTTGTCGGAAAATGAATGGAACAAAAAAAAGCTGCAAAAGGGAATCCCCATAAACCAGGCGATTTCCAGATGTGGTCAAGACTGAAGGAGAGACTGAAGAAAAAGAAAGACTAGGTCATGTTTAAATGGAGTAGCACCTGGAAGTCCGAAGTTTCAGTCCGACATTCTCGAGAAAAAGTAACTGCATTCTTTTAGGGGAATATTTCGCGACCTCCTAAGATGTATGGTTTCAGTTGCCTAGCGAAAAGGTTTTACGTTTCTTTGAGGATCCTCTCCTTTCAAAATCAGGCAATAGCATGGCAACATCACAGTCACTGAGTAGACTCTAGCACTGAGTGGCCTACAGTGACGCTACACTCTAGCAAGCTCCGTTGAACACTCCCTCAACTTTGACGAAGAGCGTGTGAAAAGCGAAGAGAAATTCCCCGTGATGTCACTTTATGAACGACGAATGCCGCTCATCTGTCACCTATAGGAGAAAGCTCCGTCGAATAGGTTAAAGCTCAGAAAATAATTTCTGTCGTGCTCTTAGGATTATTAGCGGCTTTTCGATGGAGGAAGGCTCCTAAGTGGCTGTGACCATTCGTTAAGATACCTACCTATGCTGCTAGACTCGATTTTGGCGCTCTTTTCGGACTTTATAGTTTCACTAAAAGACAAGTACGAGATTAAAATGGTTTGTTTTCTCTCTAGAACAAATCTGTGGCTCCAAATATGCATACCTGGCGCTGTCAGGTCGAAAAACGACCAGAATGGGGTTCAATAAGGGTTGAAGTTTTGTGTCTACTGAATGCCGTCCCAGAGGTGGTCGTGTTTTGAAGATATTGCAGACCCGCCCTATACGCACCAGAGCAGCCTTGTAGGAAATCGAAACAGCTGATCACAGAAAATGATAATACAGTAATTAAAGAAGAACGACAAAAACGATAACAAAATGGCAACGGGAAGAAAGTATAACAACGTGAAAGTCTCATAGGTTTGTTTGCATGCAGTCCCAATCGTTGACGACAGCGGAAGACTTTTCTGCGTACTGTAGCACACAACCTATGCAATTACACTCAACTAAATCTCGTCCAAATATCACTTCCACGCCGATTCTGTCGCTAACCTCGTACAACTCCCTTTTCTGCCACTTCTTTTGGATTCTTTTTTTCAAATTTCGTGGGATTTTGCGCTTTCCTCGCCACCGATGCATTGCCTTGTCTCATAACTTCCACTAGCTCCGTATGCATTAGAAGTGCACCGCGTTTCATTGGATTTATTTCAAGGCTAACTTCAAAAAAAGATCCTTTTTCACGTAATTCGCCGTTCGAGAAACTCAAGATACTATTTCTTAAGTAACACACAACATAAACTATGGATGGATGATAGAAGAATTCGAAAAGGATAGTAGGGCCAGTAGGGCCTCGTTCAAAATCGACGGGTACCCTCATAGCAAAAATTTTCCAAGAACTATGTAAATCAAGATGCTCTATAGGTGCTCCCTATATTGCTCTTTACCACCTTGCGGTCAACTCGCTCTCCTCATAGGCACCTAGTACCAGCTCCTCCGTTACAGGTTAGAAATATTAACCTTTTTGAGCAGAATAGTCAGCCCTTTTTTAAAACAGAGCTTAACACATGTAAATCGAGTGCAAACCAGTGACAGACCCACAGACCTGGCCAAAAAGAAACTGCATGAGCGCAAGGATGTTATTACCGCACTTTCACTTGCTACCTAGGCGCGAGTGACAAAAATCAAGGAGAACGAGGAAATCCCCAACAACTCTTCTGAAAAAACGGCCAATCAATAGCTGCCCACGATGGCAAAACAGCGACCACAACAACAGGCGACTTCAGCCTTCAGGGCGATACATCGCGCCCAAAGGAAGTCGTAGTAGAAGTCTTAAAGCTCCGTTCAGGTACTTGTTCTCAAAGTTTCAGATGCAAATTCAAAATCACTCTTCAAAAAGAACTCCTCACAAGATATTTTACTCATTCCATTTTACAAAATCTCAAAATCTATTTTTCAGGAAAGAAAGGTAGTGACAGCGCAGCTATGAGAAATCAAATAGTAAAAAAACTGGTTATCACCGATATGATTGATTTCAATGCAGACAGCCGCTGAGCTGGGGACCTCTAATGAAGTGCCATTCAACAAGATTTATTTCATTCGCAGAATTCACTCAAAATTTTGGCAAGGCGACCATATAATTGGGTCTCCAGGGAGAAAAAAGAGGCACAATCTGTCTATGGCAATCTATCACCATTACTGAGCAATCACTGAGTAACCAAAAAAGGCAGGTTCAAAAGTAAAAGCAGTACTAATCGGACCTTGGTAGTTGGTTTCCAACAAAAAGAACTTTTTAAATAAATGATAAATGAACAGCTTCAATCTCTTACTCTGACGCAAAATCAATCGAGTAAAGAGGAGGTTACGACCCGAAGCATCTGTTTGCAAATGCGAACGCCACAGCCAACGTAAACAACAACTCCCGCCCACTTGGAAACGGCGACGGCAATGTGAAGTGAGACATCAATGATCAAACAACAAAGGAAGTAACCTTCACAAAAACAGATTGTAAAAGATGTTTGGAACAAATTTATCATTAGTATTACATCACCGAATGATCACTGGTAGGCAAAACTTCAACATAATAAAGTTAATAAAGCTATGCATATGTACGAACAGAAGTGAATTTATCAAGAAGGAAATCGAACACAACAAATAACCTAGAACTATTGCAACTCTTTGAATGTTAACCTTAAATCTCTTTACCTCAAAGGTATTACCTATCAAAATCTCCTATTGCGGCTTCCGAATCAACATTGCCATGGCTTCGCCTCCTCCATTGCAAATAGCAGCGATACCCAGTTCGCCGGGAGAAAGTGAATACGCCAGCGATAGCACGATTCGTAGCCCGGACATACTGGGATCAAAGATATTAACGAATAGCAGCTTCAGAGAAATTTACCGTTTGGATAATGCGCTTACCCTAGAGGATGCCCCAAAGCAACGGCACCTCCTTTTACGTTCACTACTGCTGGATCCAGCTTAAGCTCCTGTATGAACGCCATAGCAGTTACAGAGAAGGCCTCATTTATCTCCCACAATGCAATGTCATTACTTGAAAGATTCCTCTGCTCCAGTAACTGAAACAGAATGTGAACTGTGTAAGCCAGTATTACTCAGCTCAAAAGCTATCAATCAAATGTACCTTTCTTACAGCCCAAACAGGAGCAATGGTGAAATCAACAGGGTCTCCTCCTGCCTCTGCGAAATCAACCACTTCTGCCAGAGGGGTGACACCTGCGTAGAATAAATTTGCATTTATGTATCTCGTAAGATATGTAGCCATAAAAAAACTAACCTTCAGGAACTTGATCACCACGCACAACTACGGCAGCTACTGCGCCATCATTTAAAGAGGAAGCATTAGCGGCAGTGATTGTTCCAGAGCCGTCGTTAACGAAAACAGGTTTAAGATTTGGAACCTGGAGATTGTTTATGTATCATATTCTTTTCAATTTGAAAAGTCTGCTGAAACCTTGGACTCCACTAGCTTCTTGTATTCTTCATCTTCGGACACAACAACAGTGGCTCCTCGTTGCGACTTGGTAACAGGTACAACTTCTTGCAAAAACAAGCCTTCCTGGAACACGACTAATACAGAATTTATAACCATTCTGGTTCAACCACAAGGTCCAGCGCAGTAGAAACGCTTGGTGTGAATGGAGGTTGTTTTTCGGGTCGAAAAATAAAAGTATTTCTGTAGAACAGTTCAGCGGTGACGAAAAAAAGGCGGAAGTAGGTAGAAGTCCCAAAATATCAGGCCTTTTCGATCTTGCTTTTCTCCGAAGTTTGAAGTTGCAAAAAGACGAGCGATAGCTACTGAAGCGTAGAAACAGACTGCATTTGCCAGTAGCAGAAACGTGCTTCACTTTGAGCAGAAAGCTCCACAGTACCCTAAGCACGTCCCACTTCGGAAGTATTAAATTGCGGTTAACGTTGCAAAAGACGAGTGATAGCTGTCTGAGCTCTATTGTGCCCTGAACGCCTTCCTACCCGCACTATTCCATGGGGTCTTCTTAGAAGCCGTAGCATCCTACCAATAAGGAGTCCCTGAAGCTATCTTCATCGCCCTTGAAAAGAAAAAGATGAAAACGTGTTACCTTCCATGCTGCTTCTGCCTTCTTGTAACTTTGAATGGCAAACGCATCTTGTGACGATCGACTGAGATTGTAATCCTGAATTTGGCTTTTCGATGACCATTTCAGAAGATTGCATAAGTTTTATTCAATTAAGAAGGTTAAAAGTTACAGGTTTATTCTGAAGAGCACTTTCAGGCGCGTTCTTTCAGTCAAACTTGAAAACTAGAAGATTGGCAGGCGGAACACACCCGTTCCAGAAAAAGAGTAGAGAGTAGTTTCCTGTTGCAACTAACAGCAATCCTCATTGCGCCACCCAGAATGATTAAGCCAATTCTTAGGACTAGTCACAGACGGGTGGTCTGTTGAACGCCGAGTCTTGTTGCCGTTTAAAACACATTTTCATAAGCAATTTGAGATCGTCCCCTGAAGGCGCTCTTTCAAACCCAAATTCGAGTTATCTGGGAGGTTTTATGCAATAAGAGGCTAACGTTCTGCAGGAATAGTCGTTTCTGGTTCACTAGTCGACCAAATTAAACGCCTACTTTACCTCACCCGAACGTCTATCCTGCGTTATGGAGTCAATTATGTCTCGAATTAATGGGCTGCTCCTTTATCCTAATGATGTAACACCAACGAAAGGAGGAGTTCTTTGACCTGATTCGCCACGTACATACACTTAAATGTACTGTCAGGCCATACTGCACTTGCCAGCTCGACTGCTTTCTCGTTTGCCTATCACGGTCAAATGAACTTTCAATCCATCCTTCGTGAAGCTCCATCCTCTATTCATAGAGCAAAGAAGAATAAAATTTCCTTATGAACGGTCATACACAAACCCCTTAATTTCTCCATAGCACAGGTCGTACTGTAAAGAGGGTGCGGGATTTTGAAGCTTCCCCATAGACGCAAGCAACAACGTCTATGCAGCGAGAGTTTATCAGGGTTTTGTTCGAGAGAAGTTTTTAGAGAAAACTACGTTCTATATTTCGTATTTACATTGACGGGTGACTCGTCAAAGGACCCGGGATCGTAGTGAAGGACAAGTCGAGGGTGGCGTACCTAGTCATCATCCGAGTTACCTTGTATGACCTGCATTCTCTCAGAGCAATACGAAGACTACATGAGCAATAATAGAACGGTTGAGTAAACATGTACGATGTAACATACCTTTACTGTCTTCTCAGCGCAAAGACCCATATGAGTATGCGACAGAAAATCTTGTAACCCGTCTTTCACAATTCCATCCTAAACGAAGGTACGATGAATGGGCAAACTCAAACTCGTCATAAAAGAAAAGAGAGGTTCAAGTCATACTATAACGCTCATCCCTCCGTATGGTATCTCTCCTCGTGGCATGTAGAAGGGAACCTAAGCTGTGAGATATAAATGTGACCTGGTAACAAAAACCCTCAATGAAAGGAACGAACGAACACAACACTGCACCAAAAAAAAACAGCAATGAACAAACCTGGCTCATATTCTCACAACCAGCAACGAATATTTTCTTGCGATATCCGCTTTTTATTGATAGAGCTCCTAAGGCTAAGGCTTTCATAGAAGATGAGCATACTTTATTGATAGTTACCGCTTGAGAAGTTTTCGGGATTCCTTGAAAATATCAGATGATCGCTATTTAATAATGTGTAAACCGACAGGAATGATAGTGGCTTAAATCCCAATGAATAGTTGCCCACCTACAGAAATTGCAACTTGCCGGGCAACATTCTGTCCACAATTGGCCGCTAGAACGCAGCCAACAAAGGACTCCTCAATATCATTCGGAAATAGCCCTGTAAGCAAACACCTACGTAGCACTTCTTTGAATTGCAACAAAGCAAAGTTGGCATTACCTGATCTTTCTATTGCGGTCCGACCTGCTGTGGCAGCGAGCTCAACTGCACTAACACTAGCGAACGAACCGCGGAACGAAGCGATGGGAGTTCGAACTCCTGCCAAGATCAGCACCTACAAGCCAGTAAGTTTAGCAGTCTGATATTGCATGAACCACATCTTCAATCGGAGAAACGGATGTCTCGGGACTTATTATCCAAGGGGAGTAAAGTGGTATGCTATTCTTTACTTAGTATCTTCTCATTGTCCATCTCACCGTTATCCAATTATGCTGCATTTCCCTAGAGATTCTCACTAACAACAGAGAATCTTCATATTGTGGCGTATGCTGAACGGATCATTTATAAGTTCATGCCCGTCGAAACTTCTTTGTGGTGACTCTCCTTCCCCTGAACGAGGAAATAGTCACGCCCCAGTTAACGTGAGAACCGGGTTCCGGTGCCGTATCTTCTACCTCGTAATGATTGCAGTGAGACACTAAACAGCGGAACATAGACACATAGTCAACGCTGAGTTGGTGCTATCAATGCAACCGTCGGCTAGCAACAAAGTGGTATTTTGGTCAAACCGAGCATCACCGACCGCCCGCCGCCCGAGGTTAAGCGATGCAGATGAAACTGACAGGCGAACACATATTAGACATGGGAGCAACTAGTAACCCACTGAGCAGAAATAGATTCTTTGAGGTCAAACATCAGCCATAATGTTTTGCAAAGGGGAATCCCCTTGGTGTATCTGTTCGATTTTTTTTCTTGAACTTGCTAATAACAATGCTGAGTCTTGCCATGAAAACCCTATGCAAGACATTCTTTTTTTTGCTGTGAAGAGCAAAAATTGTGCGCTTCTTATCTTTATAGGCTCCTCTGAGTGCCCTTTGAATAGGCGCATTCATAGTGCGACGTTGACGTCGACGTCAGCGTCGCGCCGATCGTTGCTCTGTAGTTCTGATAAATCGAATAAATCCGCTAATGTGGGAGAGACCCAAAAGATCACAGATGGCGACGCATTTATATGGAATTTGCAAACATGCATCTTCTTCTTCTAGGAAACAGCTTTCTTTTTCCATGCTAGGATACTTTACTTGAGAAAGCGACCTCACCATCCCTTTTCCAGTCGCGATACCAAATTTTTTCGGTGAGCTTGATGGTACAAAGAACACAAGGGACAAGGCAAACATAAAGAAATTTTCAAATTAGATTCCATTTGAGAAATGGTCACCTAAGACCATTTTATAAATATAAAGTCATGAACCACAAAGGGAAAAGAAGATGAACGGTCTCACTTGCGTCATCATTCCCACAAATTCAGCCGCAGCAATCGTTCACGACCGATGCTTATCAAAAAAGCATTTACTTCAATTCTGTACAGAAGGCAGTGGAAAAGCCTTTGTAGCACCTATCAGACAAACAGCACACCTTAGAAGTTTTTAACAGACCAACATCGCTTTTGGAAAGCGCGAAATGCTGAGAAGTTCATGCTTTTACGACTGCAACACTCGGTTATCGCAGCTATCAACGCTGCCACCTTTTTGTAAGAAGTTCTTTGATCGTTGACCAGTTCAGCGTTATCGAAAACGTTTCGCGACTTAGCTGCTCTCCTGGCCCTCATCGGAACCATGGGGTGACCATGCACTGTGATCATTTGTTGCACACTTTAAGCACAACATCACTTTTTTTCTCCTGACAATACCATCAGTCCGACGCTTTTCGCCCTCGAAAGAATGAACTAGCCGAGCTAATATTAAACATGGTAAAGGGCTTCCTCAGCTGCTCAAATACAACTGTTTAAAATTGCAGCATCAGACTACTGGAACGGCTTCCTAGTGAGGTGACCTTAATCCTCGGGATTACTATGTTTCCCCCTTATAATGAAAAATTTTAAAGACCATTTCTATAAGACGCTAATCCACGGCCACCTTCTCTTGAAGTTGATTACGATTCGGTTCGGATTAGCAAAACTCTCCCAAGAAAGTTTAACATTTGATGTTGAATCCAGTTTTACCACTGAGATACGAACGTGCCCGCCCATATTTCCATGATTCATGGCACGCACAATGTATATATGGCTTTTACGTATTGGTAAAGCCTGGCCCAAATAGCAAAACCTCGTTCGGCTAAAGTTTCTGCTTATGTGATGCGATTAGCAGACGAAAGGAATAACACCGAAAAATTGAGCAAAAATAATTCTTTATCAAATTGTCCGTTCCAGTGAGCTTATCTTTTTTACATTTCGAGTGAGCGGCGCGCAGTAGACCTTTCACACAACATACTTGCTTTAGTCTTCAGCCGACCATACCGTCCAGAGAGAAAAAACAGAGGTCTTATTGCTATGGTGATCGCCTTTCATGAAATTACTGGGTCCCCATTACGATTAACTATCCTATACCTATTCTTCCATCTACATTCTCCAATCCTGCCCGTTGTTCCCGCCAGTATACCCCAACAAATGAAACGACTATGAGTCATCGCCTAGAGGATGGGTATGCTTTGAATGATTCATGCACTCTTCCCCATGCAAGGGTTATGAAAACGTCAATGTGGAACCATCCAAATAGGATAAAATATCATAATGAACCGTTTTACGAAGATGTTGATTAGTCAGAGTCACAAAAACGACATGCTAACAAGAGTATAGCAACTCAATGAGGTTTTTCGTGAATCACTTGAGCAAAAAAGAAAAATAATACTAACCGTATCATCCGACATTACGATCACAGCAACACTTCTCTAATTCCAGCAACCGCTAGAATTATTTCCTATCCCTAAACATGATGTAGTAGGTGAAGTAATCAATATAACTTTCGCAGACAATCGATAGCAAAATAAGAATGTTAGAACGTCAGATCTTGAAAGATGTTAAATGCCAGCATGCACATTCTTCAGGCCAGAAAAGAAGGTTCGAGAGAACCTCGGAAAGTGTGAACATAAAATAATCCTAATCCTTTATCTGAGGATACAGAGATGAACCACAGAGACGTCATGCAGCCTAGTTTATAACTTGTCAACAATAGAATTTATGCAAAAGGGCAAAATAAGAATGATATGAGGTTGAAAAACAGGACAGGGGCTCACTACAACCCCAAATGTAGCTGTCCTACGTTAGTACGAGTTTCATCATACAAACCTACTATTCTAAAAAAGCGATGAGTAGCGGTAGAGAATTCACAATTTCTCTATAATCATGCCACTAGCACCGCCTCCTCCATTGCATATGGCAGCCAAACCTTTCTGACCCGGTTTCAATGCATAGACAAGGTGGGTGATAAGGCGAGCGCCAGACATTCTAAATGGCAAGACCATTGGTGCCGCAATGTGCGATGGAGAAATTTAATTCGAAATACTACCAGAAAAGCAAAGCACACCTCGAACTGAAAAGAGACAAAAACGACAGACTGGCTATAATGATGGAACTCACCCAATGGGATGCCCGATTGAAACCGCTCCACCGTGTGGGTTCACTTTCTCTGGTTCACATCCAACTTGCTTTATAAATGCCAAAGGCACAACCGAAAATGCTTCGTTGACTTCCCACTGATCGATTTCTGTCATTTTCAAGCCAGTACTTTGAAGCAACTAAACAGCATTGGAGCATTGGAAGCACTGGCGGAAGAACTCTCAATTTTCAGCTATCTGAGGAATTTTTGGAATGATACCTTTGGCACAACTATGGGAGGCGCAATTGCGAAGTCCAATGGATTCGTCGCTGCATCAGCAAACGCAAGGATTCTGGCCAATGGTTTACATCCATGCTGCTTGACAGCTTCGGAGCTTGCCAGAAGCACGGCGGCACCACCGTCATTCAATGTCGATGCATTGCCAGCGGTGACCGTTCCATCTAAAAGAAAGTTTATGAAAACTACTCTTGAAAAAAAAAACTGATCAAGAGAGTATCACTATTCAGTAAGTATCCACTCACCTTTCTGGAAAACGGTTTTCAATGTTTTCATTTTATCAAAATTGACTTTTTTGTACTCTTCATCGGAGTCTACGACAACATCACCCTTGCGACTCTTCACAGTAACGGGCACTACCTCAGCAGCCATGATTCCACCCTGCCAAAGAATGAATTATTATTCTCCCCACAGCGCCGTTCAACACAGCCAACCCACTGAATATATTACGAAATGAAGACGAATCGAGAGAGATGAATCGAAAATTTTCCGCAAATCACGACGTTCTTCTATTTCGTAAAAAGTCAGACCACACCGAAAAAGGTAGCGTAATGGAAACATAACTAACATACGTTCCAGGCTGCTGCAGACTTCTTGTAACTTCCAATTGCATACTCATCCTGTGCCTCTTTAGATATAAGAAATTCTTTGGCGGTCTTTTCCGCGCAGTTGCCCATATGACACGAATCGTAGGCGTCTGTGAGACCGTCGTTCACAATGCCGTCCTAAGTATAAATATGAAATGGTGAAAAAAATTATCTAAAGAGTTCGTCATCAGTCCAGTTCAGAATGCCGGGATAGACACTTTTGCAAAATGGGTTAGCCTCAACTAATTGCTCAAGGTTAAGGTGAACTCTACTACTGGCTAATAAATGAGTAACTAATAGCATGAAGAAAAACGAAGAATAACAAGTGGTTTATGCTGGTCCAGCATCTTAAAGACCATAGGTTCCGTCAAGCTTCAAATCTCTTCAACGAGGTTATTACTTAACGCATGGAGCGTTTGAGGAATGTTCAGAGAATACCAAGTTAGGCTATTCGTTTATATTCTAGAAAAACGGTGAACGTTTCGTGCAAAATTTTATTTCCCAAATATCATAGACTTACACCCCATTAACCCAGTTCGAGTAACGTTCAACACATATTTCCCAACAAACGCTCCGTTACAGCTTCCCTGTTTAACATAATAAGAACGAGCATTGACCACAATCAAGATTCACTTCCATAAACAAGCCATAAAAAGCATGACGACAGTAAAACAGACCAGGAGTTTGATGCCTCCGTACATAGTATCGCCACGCGGAAGATAGAAAGGAACTTGAGACATGCTTTCCATCCCTCCTCCGATTACTACCTAAATGAAGTAAATTTGCTTGCGCGCAATACATTGCGTCTCATACTTTCAGGTTAATTTAAAAAATGAAGTAGGAAAGCGTAACAGAACGGGAAAAAACCGAAAGAATTTCTCTTACGTTTTGTTGCCCTGTCTGAATTTGTTGTGCAGCGAGCATGATGGCTTTAAGACCTGATGCGCAGACCTTGTTGACAGTAGTAACAATAGTAGAAACATTAAGACCTTAATCCTTTCTTTGAATTGCATTTTTCTAATTCGAAACCATGCAAGGCCTGTCACCATTTAGGCATGGAAAAAAATGAAAACTGGGGTGGAATGAAAGCTCACAAACCTGCTCCAAGGGCGGCTTGACGAGCAGGTGCCTGTCCAACACCGGCTTGGCAAACTTGCCCCATATACACCTGAACAAATGATTCATTCCATATGAATATCTGGATTCATCTCTTTTCGAAATAAACTGTGGCAAATGTGAAATGTACAATTTGAAAAATGCGTCCTTAGACCTCCCAATCTTAACTGACAATGTTTTCTATCCTCTTCTATAATTAATCTGATGAAAATTCAAATCAGCCAATCCTGCATTAACCCATTGGCGACCGCGTCTTTTTAGCGTGTCTGGCGTGTGGGACCGAGCGCCCTTTTCGCGGGCTGCTGCTGTGACCCGCTGGCGAGCCACACGGTCCCGGGAGCAAGTCATTTTTTCGTAAGCATTTCCAGCCGACAAAAAAGTTTTTTTAAATGTGGCATGCAAAGGTTACGAGTCATACACGCTATTTAGAGCTACGTTATGGCATCTAATGTTGTTTCTGATTGTTCGAAGGGAGGTGAGAGTTTTTACCAAATCATTTCCAAATGCGACTCTGTCTAGACACGAGGATACAGACATGATGAGAATGGCATATTTCATCGGATACCTAGCAAAGTCCATTTATATCCTTTTTGCATCTTTTTGCAACCTTTTCCACAGCCTTTGGTTTTCCTCCTTTACCAATGCCCTCAGAAATAACTTTGTTGTCTCTTATTAGTGAAGTCAAAAGTAAACGTTTTACGGACCACTGCGCGTCAAGATTATATAGTAGGTCGTAAACCTGCAAAAAAATCGAAAATGAATGTTATACATACAAAATAATACTGTGGCCCGTATGCGGGCCACGTGGTCACAGGAGCACGACAGGGCGTGGCCCGTATACGGGCCACGCGGTCGTTAATGGGTTAAGTCCCACCTCGTTAATAACAGACAATTTGCGATAATTAACTTGATGAAAACTCAAATCAGCCAACCCTGCATTAAGTCCCACCTCGTTAAAAACGAACAGTTTGCGGTAACCATGCTCGATAAGTACGGTCAAACTTAATTGAGAACAAATGATAGGTTGCCCTATGAAAGAATCACTTTGCCTCACTACATTCAGCATACGTAAACAAAGCAGAAAAAAAGTAATTATTCCAACAACTAAAAGGGCTTGAAGCCTTCACCTCTTGCACATCCTCAGGCTTCAAACCGCCTCTCTCCACTGCAGCTTTTATGGCGACACTTCCCAGCTGTGGAGCCGACAATGAGGCTAACTGAGATCGGAAAGATCCAATTGGCGTACGAGCAGCTCCAATTATAAATACTTCCTGCAAAAATGTCAAATATTTCACAAAAAGTCTTAAATCTGTGTAAAACCAGAGGAGCTGGAACTACTCGAAACCAAACGCCATAGAAGTCCTTCAAAAAATTGACTCAAAGTCTCATTAAAGTTGCTTCTCAAAAACATTCAAACCTTTTTTATTCAGTTTCATGTAACACATTTTCAAATATAAAACACCAAACGTCACTGCAAAGTAACACCTAACAAGGAAGAACCACTTCAATCAATAGACAAAGGATAGCATAAAAATTTAAAACACTGAGCGAAAACATCCAAATATCTGACCTGGTTTCTTGCTGGTGAAGATATAGTTAGCGCCCTATTGGCCACGATCGTGGAGCGACCCAACATTCCTGAAAAAACCGTTTGAGCATGGGAGCATTGTAACAAATGTCGTTATATGAACAATAAGAAGATCATGTCACTGGCATGGCATATTAATTTTTAAACACAATCTTTTTGTTACAACCTCTTTACCTGCTACGCTGCCTTACCAACTGCTAAGCCAAATCTTTGGTTTGCAACAGGGTAAGGTAGCGAAAAGACGAATTCAACTAGGGCAGAAGCAGTGGGGAGCAACTAAGCATTGTCGAAACAATCTAACCAAATTTTTGCCAAGTAATGTTACAAAACCCTCTGTTAGAAAGCTCTTTGGAAATGCTCGCAGCAACGAATCGTTGACGATAACAAAGTGATGAGCAACTAATCAGCTCCATCCTCAAAGTCCTAAATTAACACTAGCTTCACAATCTCATTATGGAATGAGACGAAAACAACGACTCGTTGCTGCCGAAGCTCCGCATTCATGGAGAAGACGTCGCTTGTAGATGGACTTTCCATACCGTTGAAAGATTTATTTTCAGCCTTTTCAACCCCCCGAGCTTTTATCAGTCGCTGAGTCGACGGCGTCGTTCAACACCACACCAGCAAAAACGGTATGGCCTTATGGGTGGTGAGCGTCGCTGTCACCTCTACAGGTCAGAGGTAGACCAACAGCATCAACACAATGCGGAACTCGCAATATTGTCCATCGACAAGCACAGAATCAGTAAATAATCTGACACCAACCACACGTCATGCAAAAAGAACTGTACAAATCGAACAATAACCCACTAACTTACAATGACACACAACGAGCTAACCTCTTCAAAGGCAGAACTCATTTTATTACGAAACTCCATCCGCTCCCGTTCTAGGCACATGCGACCGGTAGCTGAGTCTGAATGAAGAGTTCCGAGTGTATGTCGACACCGGCCAAGAGCTTATTGCAAAGGCGTCGCTGTGAGGTGAGTCGGTTACGTGACTACTTGAACTTTCTCTGCATCTCTGACGGCAAGAGGCTAGAGCCCAGAGAAAAACACTCCGGGTGAAGCCTACGGCGGTGGTGGTGGGAGCCCCATTGGACAGGCGAGCACAACACGCAAAGACCACATCAAACGGGAGTGCGCCAGACGAGGGCAGAAAAATGACGCATCCGGCAAATTTAAAGGAACCGAGTTCAAGTAGTCCGTAGGCCGAGGTGAGTCATATGTTTCTTGCTCTAGGCGGATGGCTCGTGAACAAAATGACAATCTATTGCCAACCTTTTATACTGGATAAGCCACCTAGGGGGAGGAGCTAATCATGCCTTGGGGGAGTCAAGTATCACGAATCGTGAGTTTTGGAGCGAATCTGCAAGGGAGATAACGATGTAACTATTTCCTTGATCTGCACTCAACCTAATTATATAACAAGGAATAGGTTAAAAAACCAAGCAAGTTTTACCTTCCCGTCTCAGTAAACAGCTTAGCTACTTCAATTCCAGCTTATGGGCCATAACGTTTTCTTTAAGTGATCTGGATAAATTCATGGTAAACAATGAACGCTATATCTATGGTTCAGGCAAAACCGACTGCCCTAATTGAAAGTCCTGAAATCTTCCATCAGTTGTAGAGGATGTGATATAGACAATATAAATTCGAGAAACTACTGAATAATCTAGAAACTTAATGTATAGCCATCAAAAGTGAAGGGTAAGGCTAAAATGGAGAGGAGCACTACGTTTAAAGTGCTTGGAAAGTAGTGATGCTCCATTCTCAGCCAATTGTTGGCCTTCCTTATCTAAGGACTGGAAAATTGTTATCAACCTCACATCAGAGCGACGAAGCCGTGATGGAATGTGCTTCAAATGCTGACGTTCAACGATGATAGAATAGATACCGTTGGAAAGAGTAGGAAACTGCCTTGACAAATGAAAAAAAAACTTTCGTTGTTAATTTTCACTTCGATTTAGGAAGAACAGCACCATCCATGACCAATCACTGACAAAAGAGCAAAAATCAAGCGGCAGCGTAAATCTCACAAGAAGGCCTGAAACAGGCGGTGTAAAGAGAGAGGAGTATTCAGAGGGAAGAAATGCCATATAGACAGGGGTTCGACTATAGGCAAATGGAACCTGAGTAAGGGTAAGTAAGAGCGATAGGAAAAGGTACAAAAAACAAAGACCAAAGTACTCGGCTACCGTGAAAAAGGTCAAGTAATCGGGTGGAGTCGCGACGGATTTTGAAGGTTGTTGTATGTAATTGCAGAACGTACACGAAAAAAAAAGTTGAACTCGCCCGCCGTTCGGGGCCCGGCGCGGGGCCATCCAGGTGACTCAGCGTTTATTGTGTTTACATTGTCTGTTGAGTGTACACTGGCGTTCAGAGTCTAATTTATTCTATTCTTTTCAAACATCTAGTGTTTCGACGATTTCTGACTGGCTCGCTGAAGTTGGGAGCCTTGTTTAACAGGCATTTTGAAATCTCGTCCAAGTATGCATGTTTTTTTAATCGAAGTTTGTCATTGTCAGTTTTAAATGGCATAAAAGAGCACATCGTCGGGGCTGATACCATCCATTTGCTCACCCATCCTTCACCCACTCCTTCTTCCCCTCCCTTTTCGTTCCTCACCCCGACATCCGTTTTCATTTATTCCCTTTTTGTTGTTGTTTGGAAGTGATTGGTTCCCTTTTCTTATTGGACCGTTTACTGGACCACCATCTCACTGAGCACCGCTTTTATGAGTGTCTACCATAGACAACACTGCAAGGAGTGCTCGTTATTTTAATCGCAATTCTCGCTTATTTCTTTTCATTCATTCATTGTAAAAGGTCCTCAAACTCCTTCGAATTTTGTTGATGAGACTCTTGTCAGCTCTTGCTTTCATTTCAATTAGCTTCTGCCAATAATCCATCTTCGAAGGTGAAGATGTTTTGGGCAGCCTAAGTGCTCAACGTCAACGTACTGTTTTATTTCTGTTAACCGGTCGTGAAAGCCCGTTAAGAGGGGTTGTCGTTACGGGAAATACATGCAGTAGAGTATCAAAGACTTTTGTGGAGTAAGCAATTTGTTTTGAGTGGGGGATAAGCTTAAATACTTATTCATGTTTTCGAAGATAGGTATTTGCTTCATGGAAAGCCCTACTTGCTCTTTAAGGTATTCAAGCCATTATATTTGATTGGCAGCCTCATAAAGTCGTGCTCAATATGCTCTTAATAATGGGTATTCAATTAAATTAAGTCGTTCCAGGCCTTAATCGAGTGCAAATGCTCTTCTGTTACGGTGCAAAAGAAGCTCAATTTGCGAGGCATTCACTTCAATGCCCATAAGTTTTTTCTCTTTAGACCATATGCTCGCTTCTAAACACCTTTAATATCTCTCTTGGAGGGTAATGTTAAAGTGTAGTAGGTGGTAATCCAAAAAGAAGTGGGTAACATCCTAGGACAACACTTGACCACTAATCGCAGGTTTGACACAATTTGTGAACCAATTCAATCTCTGTTCACCAGTTGCGTCATTCTTTGCGAGGTGTGGTCTAGTAATGTCATGCTGTAAGACAACCCTTCTTTCCCATTGCAACTGCTCAAGCTCCTAAAATTTCACCCTACTTGTATAGCAGTCTCAGAACTGGGTCCACTGAATTTCATTTGTTTCGTACCACTTAATCATCGTTAATCGAGGCCTGGTTTCAAACCACAGAAGGTGAGAAGGCCTCAATTTCTATTACTTTCTCGAATCGGGAATTTGCAAGCTTAAGATGGAAGTTATCAAGAATATGGTTTTCTCCATACTTGACTGAAGTCAATTCGCCTGTTAATAGTGCAGTGCTGTGCTTTTCTTGAAGAACATCACAGCTTTTTTGGTACTTCAATGTCTGAAAACTTAGTCATTGCTATGTCTATATGCAAAATTCTCTGCCTGACATCATATTTCTGTTTACTTTCATTTTTGCTTTGCATTTTCCCTTTATTCGTAAGTCAATAGATGTCTCCTGTGCTATTGAATTACATTGAAATCTTTGGTGACTATGGAAATTCAAGCCCTAGGAGAAAAAGGCACCGGTTCCTTTTTTTTCCTGGAGCGGCTGGAATCCACTGTGGGAATCTTGCTAATGGCGGGGAACGGAATGGTCAACAAATCCGTGAATGTAGCGGTTACGCTACCTTTCAAGCTGTTAGACCAGGTATTTAGGGTGTTACGCTCGGCAAGTGAACGGGATAAAGATCAGAATTTGACAAAGGGAAATAGAAGAAGGAAAAGAGTGAAGGTCTTCCCAAGATGTTTCTGAGCGCTCTATCAGATCTGTTGGTACACTCGAAAGACATGGCTTTCATTCCTTGAAAGTTCCAAGCTACCCAAATCCAGTTTAGATCGTCGTAAATTGAAATGTAATAGGATCGTCGAATACCATCATGTGCAATAGTCTCTGGTTTCGTGCGGTTGTTCCAGTACGAGAAAATCATCAGCGGAGGACTGGGTACTGCTAAGCTTTACTGGATTTCGCACCTGTGCGATGAAATTATTGATGTGTAGATCCTTTCGCAACCGGATGAGGATTATGCAGAGCAGTAAAAGGTTCATCGCGTGGTTCTCCTTAAATGATTTTTCGTCTTTTTAAAGAAGCAACTACAGCAATAATTCTGTGTGCGTCGATTTTTCGGCTATTGCACAATTGAGGTTCCCTTTACAACCGATTTTTTTTTCTATCGCGACCTTCCCGTCGTGATGTCTTGTCTTTTCTTCAGTAACTTTTCAACTTTCTTCATGCTGTTCAACTTTTTCGAATCTCGTGAAAGACATCAGACAACTGCTCGCGACGTAGCATTCAGCTTTATTTCTTATGTGAGTATAAAGCTGAAATTCCGCACCCAAACCCCTTCTTTTGCTGACTGACTTTCTAAGCCCTGTGAGCTTCTTGAATTCAAGAAATGTGAATTCACATTGCAAAATAACGATGCGATTTGTGATATTCCGTTCTTGCAAGTATAGCTTGCGCCTTGTGTTGTCGAAAACCCCATCTATGCTGAGTACTTATGGAAAAAAGTTTTCGCA